ACAATCATAATTCCTATAAAAACAAGTCCTTTATAATAACACAAAGTATTTAACTTTAAACGAAGCGATTCTCTCTCTCTCTCTCTCTCTCTCTCTCTCTCTCTCTCTGTCATTGTATTGCAGTCGTGTATTGCTCTCTCAAATCTAGGTATTGTGAACTACAACTAAAATAATTATGTCTTAAAATCTCTTCATTGTTTTACATTCATTATTATGATTGTTATATAAAAATTTGATTTCATGCTAACAAACATTAATGGTTTAGTACTGCAGAGGCTTTCTGATGGAAACGTGTGTTTTCTTTCTCTCTGTCTTTCTTTTTCTTAATATCAAAAAGAAATTATAAGTAGAATAATAGGAATAATAAGAGAGTCTCCAACCGCTATACTTAATGGTGAGAATATCTATAATTATTTCTAATATTAAAAACACTACTTTTTTATATACAAAATAAAAAAACACTAGCGATAGGAGGAAAGGGAAGAAATGAGAAAATAAAATCATAAGTAGATTAGTGTTTGATATATACAACAGTCTACCACTGACTGTGAAATATATATACTTTTTTGAGCAATAATTCTCTAATTTAAGCGCTACTCTACACTGTATTAAAGCACCGGTGCTATAGTGGAGGTGAACGTAACAAACAAAAAATAATAAACAGGTGAAACAGTTGTACTTTAAATAAGATTTGTGGTGTATTTCTTCTTTACAATATGTACTGTATATTTATGGGTAACGAAAATAGCTTTTTTGGGAAGATTTATATATTTTTCATTTTCCATCTCTCCGGAGATGTTTGTCTCGATGTGTGTCCAGAAAGAAATCGTGAGTTTTAGTGTTATTTAATATGGTATGAGTATTATATATAATTATTTAATATAGTATTTTATATACAGGTGTGTGAGAGTGTGTGTGTGAGTGAGTGTTATAACAGTATATTTCATAAAGGCTTACATGTATTTGCATTAATCGTTTCGTCGAGTACTATATTACTGTCCATCCGATCGATGGAGTCGTCGTTTATACAGAGATATATCGATAAGGCATTAGTTTTTGTGTCTCAATAGAGGAATGCCGTGACTATTATGATAGCAGTCGTGACAACAGCCGAACGTCACTAAACCGGTGGCCGTCGGGAACTCTCGCGAACACCGCAAACACTTCTCATTCTGGGGCTCTTCGTGTGTCTTGAGATGCGCTCTCAGATTACAGGCCAAAGCGAACCTCTTCTGACAGACCTCACACTCGTGCGGACGATCGCCTATATATACAATCGGAACACAGAAGAAACAATACATCAGATAATTGTCTGGTTTGTTGCCATCAATATGTTTGTGTCTGCGTTTCTCTGTTGTTTGTATGGTATATGAAAAAAGTTTTTCAACAACTTTTTCCTTCATTTTTCTCTCTCACTCTCTGTGGTAATTGAAGCGAGAGTTTAATGTTGTGTTAAATGGCGAGAAATTTATATATGATTTTATTTTTTGTTTCTTAACTTTTCATTTAATTAGATTGTAATCTTTCGCTAATCTTATGCCCATATATTTATTCGCACAATAACTAACTGGTAGTGATTATTGTGTGGGCGCTGGTAATAGGGATGGAGACGTTTGCCAGTTAACAGCCGAGATCTCGATATACTGTTTGTACAGTATTTCATGGCATAACTCATGTGTAGTTATAGTCATAACTAATAGGAAAATAGTTTTTTTTCAATCTTTCTCTTTCGGTAACGAAAATTTTGTGTAAAGTTTTTTATACTCGAGTTTTGGGTTTTTGTGTTTAAATTATTCTGTTATTAGTATTCTTAGCAGGTTTTAAGTGTTAGTTTGAAAAATTAGTTTTAAAATTCTCGGCCAATATAGTAGTCAATAGTAGCGGTTGTGCACCGAAATAACACTTGTATACAAACAATATATGCCCTCTTTATTAATTTAATATTTCCCATCAAAACGTAACTTTAATTTAATTTATTTGTGCTTTTGTTTATGTGAATGCCATTTAAGACTGTTATGAGGCCTTAATAATCATTTTAAATGTGAATTAAATAGTGTAATGGTTTTTAATGGTAAAAATGTATTGAATAAATGAATACTAACCGGAATGTAAGTACATCTGCGGAAAGGGAGAGACAAATAAGAAAATACACAATTCATTAGAGTTCATGAATGCAAATATATTTCACAGAAAAATATATAAAAACAAAAATATATTAAAAACTAGATCTTAAGTCAAGAGACTAAATACTAATCAGTAATTTTAAACAAACAGATAATTATTATGAAATAATAAAATTATACGTTATGTTGACATGTCTTACATGATTTCGGAGGTTTGTCTGTTTACTGAATCCACGGTTACATATTTGGCATTTGAAAGGCCAGGAGCCGTTGTGCACATACCTGTCCGCAAAAGTAAAACAACACATTTACATATGAGTTAACATAAATATGATTGCATTGTTTCGATAGTAAAGTGAAACAATAAAGAGGAATATGAATTAATTGTGTGAATAGTGTCTAAATCGTCAATCAATTAGAGATTGAAATCTTATTTTTGATTTAATATTTTTTGAATTAAGTAAATGCAAAAAACGGTGTGTTTTTCCCACAAAACAAAAAATTATATAATCAGTGCTTTAAAAGAGTTCTTTAAACTAGAGTTAAATGGTTTTACGATAAGATGTGAAGTGAACTATACTTACATATGGCTCTTCAGATCACCCGGAGTTGGACTAAAAAAGTGGAGACAAAACAAAACAAAAATTATAAATTAAAAGCGGATCCAATCGTATGATTTGCGGCGAAGAAATAATAATAAAATAGTAACACAAGAGAAGAAAACTATACGAATATATCATATTCTTTGGCAATAATTTAGTTTCAAAAAACTGTCTAATTTTACAGCAAATGAAAAAAACTAAATTTTGTTTAACTCTTCTTCTTCTTCTCTACATTTAATTTTTTGCTTATATTCTGCTCTTAAAAGTCATAATTTTATAAATTGCTTCTCATTTATGAAAATATATATCATTTTCACAGAAAAAATGTTATTAAAAAAACTTTATTTTAAGCCAAAAAACACTATTTGCGAGGAAAATACTTACAAACTTTTGCTGCAGAGCTGACAGGCGTGTGGTTTCACCTATGGATTCAAATCAAAATACATATATTAATGTTGCCTTTCAATGTAAAATAAGCAAAAAAAAGTACTGAATTTATTTGCTAAATGCATTAATTTTGCTGTACATATACTGGATATACGCGTATAAATATAATTGGATTATTATTAAAGTATTTATTTTTCCATATATTTAGCCAAAAGACAAGAATTATATTTAATTTAAGAGTTGAGGAGAAAGAGTCAGTGAAGCGAAGAGAAAAATGTGAGATTCATATGAGAGATAAGACATTAATTAGATCACAGATGAAGAAAGACTTTATGTGCGATAAACTGCTCGCAAAATAAAGAGAAAAGAAATAATAATCATCGCCACAGACATTACCTGAATATTACATTGCATTTAGATCTGCAAAGAGAGAGAGAGAGAGAGAGAGAGAGAGAGAGAGACTGCGAGAGAGATTGTTTGATGTGTACCAGTGTTTTGTGTGAGAAATTTATTTAAATAAAAACATTTAATGTCTCTTCTGTGGTAATAAACGGCGATAATTATATCGCGGACTCTATATTGTAATAGGAGTTTGAGTTCAGGGTTTCAAATATAAAGTAAAGTCAAGTAATTTTCTTTTAGTCCACATTATTCTTCTTCTCTTGGATTAAAAGATTGTTATTTATTATTAATGTGTGCGCTGTTAGCCTTACTGTACACACACATTATGATTGCGAGAGAGAGAGAGAGAGAGAGAGAGAGCATAGGTTATTAAAAATAGCTCTCTCGAGCACTTCGATGTCAAGTCATGCAAAAAAGTCTTATATGCATCTCATATAATAAGAGTATCACTATTGCCTCCGAGGGCTCTACACACTAGCCGTCCAATTATTGGTCTAAAGGAGAGGTGAATAGTCGCTACACATCTCTTATGGCACTGTCTGTTGGGCTCACTCTCTGTGTGTACTGTATATGAAGAGCACCGGAGATGAGATGCGAAGAGTGTATGAGAAAAAAGAGAGACAAAAATCGAAATCGTTGTGTACTTTATTGCACACAACAAACTGTGTTAACGCAGTCTTCGGGTTATCTCTACTTTTCTCTCACTCGTCATCTCTTGTCTTCTTCTATCACTTCTCTGTCTCTCTCTTCTATCGCAACCATTGCCTGTGTTTTTGGCGTTCAATGCCTTCAGGGCTTGCATTTTGCTGTGAAGTTTATGTCATTTCGTTCGCATATATAAGCAAAAACACAAACAAGACATTCAAGAGTTACACAACTATTGCATCTCATATATGACTATAAAATTAGATGTGTTTTTCCATATTATTATTATCATTATTGTCCTCAAGACTACTGAAACCGATTATCTTTTACTTTTTTTGGGATCAATTTTGGACTCAAAATTCAAGACTTGCACAACAAGTGTTGCGATTAATTCTGAGGCATAAAGAAAATAATTGTATTAAATAATAATCATTCGTCTCATTACTAGTCTATGCGCTTCCAGTCTCTCTCTCTCTCTCTCTCTCTCTCTCTCTCTCGGAATCCCATTTCATATTAATACGAATCGATTGAAACAAATATTTAGCTATAAATAAATTATTATTTTATTTGCTGTACTTATTATTCAGTTAATACAATATAATTAAAACATAAAACAGGAATTGTATGGTAATAATAGAGAAGTCTATTTTTGTTTGAATTATTCTATAAATATCTGTAATAATACAGTGCAGGGAATCGTATGAATGGCACGAATTCATTACACGTATGTGTGTCTCATATATTCTGTGAATTTTTCAATTGCCACACAAAATGTGTGGTGAATGTAATGGATATACAATGGAGAGAGAGAGAGAGAGAGAGAGAGAGAGACTTCATATGTTGCTTTCATAACTCCCGGTCAAACATAGCCATAGAATTCATAGTGGATTCAGATTTTTGATTAAAAAAACGTAGGATGGCTTTGACTATGGCTTTGGCTATGGATTCTGTGCATTGCATGCATTCAATATACTGTACTGTTTTTGTGCACAACACTGGCATACGGTATATGTCTGTACTTTAGGCTCAACAAACATGTCATACCTCTCTCTCTCTCTCTCTCTCTCTCTCATCTTAAGGCTATTATAGCCCTTATATATGACTATAACAACAAAAAACTATTTGAGAATTTATATATTATATTATTTTGTTAATCATTCTCTCATAAGACATGTGTTCATTAACTCCAACTCCCGGTGCTATTCAAGTAAATAAGTTTTGAGAGTTAAGTGGATGAGTGCAAAAACGCCAAATTAAAAAAGCAAAATTGGCCACAAGTGTTATGTGAGCACACATTTAGGTATTTACATGTTATATACCTTTGAGCCAACACAGCACCAGCGCTCAGGTATGAGCACAGGTAGTAGTGGTGGTGTGTGTTGTGTATAGTATAGTAGTAGTAGTAGTAGTATTAGTGGTGCACTGATTGCGTGATCAAACTGTCAAACGTTAACTATATCTCGAACTTCAAATTGACCTTCAATTCAATTCTCGGTTCCGAATCTGCTTTCCATACATACTATCCATACATTTATACACATATAAGATGTTATGTACTCAATATATACGCTATACCTATGAATGTATACATATATGCAGTATATATTTGTTGCTTTTTTGTTCATCGGGCTCCTGTATTACTCGGCCACCCCTCGCCCCGCGGCACACATGCCAGCACAGGCAGCACAGGGTAGTGCACACCTACTGCACAACAAACTGGTGAAAAAAGGGTCACCCAAACCACTCTAATGCCAATTTAGTTATGATTATCAGATCACTCGTCAAATAGTAATTGTCTTTTCAATTCAATTCAATCAAAAGTCAGATTTATTTCATCCGAAGAAAAAGAAAAAAACTCTCAGTATTTATATTTCATATATGAATAATAAGCAGAATAAATGTTTTTATAATTTTATATTACATGTTATGTTTATCAGTCACTGAATGGTAATTATTATGAGAGAAATATAAGTCAATTGTTATAAATTTTAATATTTAATAAGAGGAATATATATCATACGAGAGAGAGAGAGAGAGAGAGAGAGAGAGAGAGAGAGACTAGTTAAAATTATATAGTTATTTGGCGAACGAGTATATGAACTGAAAAAAATTCTAATGTGAATAATAAATAATAAATTAAAGCATAGATTTCAAGGAAATTTTTGCTCTCAAAACAAGCAAAATAAGACAAGACTTTGATTATATACAGTACACAACTTCGGGGAGAAGAAAAAAAATGTATGCATTTTCTCAGTGTTTTCCAAAACTATTTGTTTGAATAGAGTTTTGGCGTTCAGTTCTCGTTCGCGGCGAAGGCTTTCGTGCCTCTCATATAAAATACCAAAAGAAAAAACTAAAATCGATATGATTTGCGATCACAAACCGATTTGGGTGTGGATTCAGATTTTTGATTAAAAAAACGTAGGATGGCTTTGACTATGGCTTTGGCTATGGATTCTGTGCATTGCATGCATTCAATATACTGTACTGTTTTTGTGCACAACACTGGCATACGGTATA